GAATAAATATAAAATTCTACATTTAGGCTTTAAAAAAAACCCAGTTATGTAAGCACAGCATGGAAGAGCTCTGGCAAAAAAGAACTGGGGATTTTAGTTGGCTACAGGCTTGATGTTGTAGCAGTGTGATGCAGCTTCCAAAACCGATGATGTAATTTGGTATTGGAATCTTAGGCCCTATTCAACTAAAGCATCATAGCCAGGACAGAGGTGCTGGACCTCCTCTTATGCATGGAGCAGGCCACAGCTGGAGTGTTTATCATACTTTAAGTCCTACAGTTGGTGCTCCTTGACCCATTCTAGTTTGTAGTCCAAAAGGTAAAAATTTGGGAAATGGGGTCAAATGAAGAATGTTGGAGGCAATCAAGGGAACCTGGTGAAGAGAAGACATAGGAACCTGAGATTCCTCTTTCAGATTCTTGAAGGGGATCATATGATAAGAAGATGAAACTAATAGGTAGAAATCACAAGAATCAGATTTTGGTTCTATATAGAGAAAAGCAATCCAACTATTAGAGCTATCACAACAAAGAGTGGGTTCTTTGTCGGGTAGCAAGCTCTCAATCCTGGGAGGTGATCAACCAGAAACTAGATGTCCACTGTTGGGCACAATCTAGTAGGGAGTCCTGCTGGAGTAGAAAGTTGAAGTAGGTGGTCCCTGGTCAGTTTCGAGGTTAAGCTTCTCATCTCTGGCATCTTAGATGAAGAGGAGAGAGGAGTGTGGGCTGGAAATGAAGATGAGTTTGAGCAAATGGTGAAGAGGGAGATGGGCAAAAACAGGGGCTAGGAAGTGGAGAGAAGAGGCTGGGCTATGGGGTGGGGCCTCTTGAAAGAGGAGGGGAGGAAGGGTGTCAGGCAGAGTTGTAGACTGAGACTCGGGAGCAGGAAGCCTGGGACTGGGGCCTCCCTGATCCATGTCTCTGTCTCCAGGAATGACATGCCAAGCTCGGAGCTCCTACCTGGTTGATGAGGTGCTATGGGGCCACCGCTTCACATCAGTGCTGACCCTGGAGGATGGCTTCTACGAGGTGGACTATGCTAGCTTCCACCAGACGTTTGAGGTGCCCACTCCCTCATGCAGCGCCCGGGAGCTGGCTGAGGCCGCAGCCCGTCTTGATGCCCATCTCTACTGGTCTATCCCCAGCCGGCTGGATGAGAAGGTGGAGGAGGAGGGTTCTGGAGAAGGGTCAGGTGGGGGTGCTGGGGCTGACAAGGAGCAAAATGGCTGCCTGCCACCCCCAGAGAGTGAGTCCAAGATGTGACCAGTTTCCTGTAGATCCCCTCTGGCAGACTGGGGACCAGACACAAATATCTGAGGAGCTAGGTATAGGAGGCCGAAGAGGAGGCAGGCAAGGCCCCAGGGGAAGTGCTAAAGCTGAAGAAGCCCCCTCAGAATCTTGACTGTAGGATCCGTTTAGAAGAAAGGGTTTGTGATTCTAAGATGAAAGCTGGTACTGGGTGTCAGCCTGTCTTGTCTGACCTTCACATCTGCTCACAGGTGTACAGATGGACAGGAGGATGGCTTTATGGGGGATGGATGGGAAGGCGATGGCAGAGAGGGACAGGTCAATGGACTAACAGGTGGTACACCGGTTTCCTCTGGACAGATGCTGTCCAGGGTGCATGGACTTGTTTCAGTCACACACATCTCCTCCACAAGCTCCCTTGTACATGGCACACCTACCTAACTGGACACAGTAGCCCAAGGTGAGCCAGAGGAAAGAAAGCTAGATGGAGGTGGACAAGATGAGAGGGTGCTCTCCCAGCCCCCTCCCACCACTGTGACAGGCTAGACAGGAGGGTGATGGGCTGCAGGGAGGTTCCAAAGGCGGTGCAGGGGAGCAGGCAGTAGAGGGGAGGCCAGAGCCAGGGAGCAGGGCCTAGGAAGGGAGAAGCAGGGATGGCTGTTTTCTGACAGTGGAGTAAAATTCACAAATGCCAAGGCAGAGGTGGGAGGAGAGGGAGAGGTTTTGTGGAGGAAGAAGGACCAAGGGAAAGAACTAGAAAGATGAGGTCCTTAGAGCTGGGGCATAGCAGGCTCTGGGGAAAGTATGTCCTTGGACACGTGGATGGGAAAGTCATTCAAACCAGTGATTAGGTGCCTAGTGGGTACAGAACTGACTCAGGCACCACTTGGTATAGACATTCAGAGACCTGGTTCCTACCTTCCGAATACAGTGTACATAGGAGAAACCATCTGCCTGCACCACTGAACCATAGGCCAGTCTATGGGCAGAGTGTGAATGGCAATTCTAGAGAATCTGAGCATCCTCTCAGAGCAGGGAGTGAGACTCTTGCTGGTCAGAAAGCTAAGGATTGAACAAGACACAGATATGTTAATGTTGCTGGTCTAGGGATGACACTTGGGAGAACCAGGGCTCTAGGCAAAGTTTGAAAGTCCCATCAGGTGGTGGGGCATATCAACTGAGGAGCAGTTGATGATCTTGAGGGGACTATAGGGAGAGTGTGAGAAACAATGAAATGCAGAGAATAGAATATTGTGTGACAAAGAGAATCCTGAAGCCCAGGCAAAGAAGTTGAAGTCTGGGCCCAAGAGCTCAGCTCTCAGTGAAAACAGGGCCATGACAAGCTGAGAATGGTATTTTAGGGCAATGAGCAGGCAAGATAGCTAAGAGGAAGCAGTTAGAAGACCTTAAAGTGATCCCTGGGGAGGTGCTGGGGAGCTGGAGCAGGTAGGACAGCAGTGGCCAGAGATGGGATCCCATGTAGGACTTAGAGGTAAGAGTCAACAGGGACATGAGGGTGAGAAAGGAGTCCAAACATCTGGAAGTGCCTGGGGTCTGCTGCATGCCCCGCTGTGAGCAGGGCCCCTGGAAACATATATTCCCATCCTACCGCCACCTCCTTCCTGGGCTCAGCCCAGTCAACAGGGCAGCCCCCAGGGATGGTGCGAGTGGTGAGGCTGGCCTCTTGGGAGAAAAATGTCAGCCCCTCAAGGGGACCTAGCCATTAGCAGCACTGGCCCAGCAGTGCTGCTAACTTTTTGGTTACACCCTGGCTACACCCCACTCTTGCCCTAATAAAAGTCTGAGAAAGCACCCCAGTCTGCTCTTTTCCAGGCTGGGAAGCTGGGGGGGGCGTGTCCTATGGGGCATTGCACTTACTGGAAGCAGGAAAGGGAATCAATCATGGAAGAAGCTCATCCCAGCTTGGGTCCACTCAGAGGGGACTCGAAACCCAGTTCCCTCCCTTGTATCTGAGGAGGCACAGCTCCGCTTCTGGCCACAGGGCCTCTTGGGTCACCATGAGTCAAAGATGAAGTCCCTGAACCCGGGCATTGGATGTTCCCCCCAAAATAAATGTTGGGGGTGGGTAGGAAGTCATTTCTGTTCAATCCTATGAAACAGCTGGAGTCTGGATAGGACAGGTGGGTCATAGGGTATACACACACACATCCTTACACTGTAGTTAAGCCATTGTGATTGGACAGGCAGAGAAACTGAAGCTGGAACAGGATCTGCTTGCCCTTGGGAAGTCATGAGAGCCCACCATACCTCTCACCACTCAGTCACTACTCAAGTTAGGAGACCTGGATTCTAGTTCTGATTCTATCACTGATCAGTTCTGATGGAATCAGAACTTCACTTCTCTTCCCTGGACATCAGTTTCCTCATGGGTAAAAATACCACTTAGCACACTGGTAATGCACAATGAGTGTTTAAATGGACTTGAAAGATGTAGAATTGGTGCCTCTTATGATACAGTTAAGAATTCTAAGATCAGAGCATCCTTTGTTGTTGTTGTTAAGTACCGTGGAGTCGGTTTCGACTCATAGTGACCCTGTACAGGGTTTCCGAGGCTGTAAATCTTTACAGGAGCAGAAGGTCTCATCTTTCTCCTGCGGAACAGCTGGTAGTTTCGAACTGCCAACCTTGACGTTAGCAGCCCAATTTGTAACCACTAAGCTACCAGAGCTCCTTCAGAGCATCCTTAGGCAAGGATAAATTCAGGGAATCCTTGAGGCCCTGCAGGAGGGGTAAAACTAGGACTGGGGGCACAGACTATGGGTAGATATATGCGGGTGCTCTGTGGATACACAGATCCTCCCCAGGCTGCTGTCCGTGTCTGGGGTTTCTATTCCCCTGCTGTCAGACAAGATAATTAAAGTCATGAGGAAAGAGTCTGAAGCCCCAGGCTCTGGTCAGAGGAGTCAGACAAACAAAAGAGTTAGGCAGAGTGATATGGAGGAGAACTTGGAACAGGATCTGTCCCTGAAAGCCCCAGCCTCATAACATAGGAGATGGCTAGAGAAGGGAAGGGGGGCAAGTTCAGCTGGAAGTCAGTTGCCCTTTCTGTGCTCCCCTCCCCAGTAGGAGTGTGATCAGGAGTTGACAGCTCAGGCAGCAGATGGGACCCAGGTGCTCCCCCCCCCGCCCCCAGGGTGGGTGGCATGGCCCAAGGAGGCCAGATGGTGTTTGTGGTGGAAGCGGCCTGGGTCACTCAGAATAAGTTGTCAGCCTCCATTCACCTCCCTGCTACACACACTCAGCCCTCTCCAGCCTCCTGGCAGGGGTGACACAGCCAGACCCGGAGTTTATAAAACCAGTTTATTCATATTTTAGAAAAACTAAGTCTAGGACAAGTAAGACCCTCTCTTTGGAATGGGTATGAGATCAAGAGAAAGTCAGAGGAAGGGCGCTGGGTGGTCTTCACTTGGGAGGGAAGGAGTGGGGAATGGAGAACCTGTCCTCACTCTGGGTAGGGGCAGGTCAAATAAATTAAAAGAAGAGTGGCGGGCAGAGGGAGAGGGTATCCAGGCAGCCAGAGGAGGGCTTGGAGCTGGGCTGGAAGACAGTGGACACCTGCAAGAACAGGAGACAGAGAGTGTAATAAGCTCAGGAGAGGGCGCTCAAGAGGGCTGGTTGTCAACCTCGTTAACAGGATCCAAGAGGGCAGTGGGGCAGAGCTGAGAGCTGCTGGTCCTCCTCTAGGACTTGGGGATAGGAGGTCACAGGAAGACACAGCTGAGGGTCTCTCACCTGGGGTCAGAAGGATCACCGTTTGCGCAGCCTCTTCATGAAGCAGCAGGTGATAGTGCCAAGAACGGTGGCTCCAGTGACTAGGGCAACTCCTGTGCCCACCAGCAAGGGCACAAACAGGGTGTCCAGGGCTAGGTGAGAGAGGATGGCTCTGTTCAGCTGCATTGCCATTGTTCAGCCTAGACTCATTTCCCAGCGAATCCCCAGTGAATCCCCAGGGCCCACTCCTCCTCCCCTACAAACAGCCCCTCTCTTGCCCACTTCCTGCCCTCTCAGCATTTCTGTCAGTAGCTTTGGGTGCAGATGGCTAGTGAAGACAGAAAGCTGGTTTCTCAAAGCTCTTCACAAGAAGAGTGCAGCGATGAGAGGACAGTAGCAGGGGGAGGAGAAGATGGAAAGGACATGAGACTGGGAAGAAGGCAATGTGGAGGGTGGGGTGATGAGTCACTCACCATGTGTGTAAGGATAGACCGTGACCGGCCCAGAACGGGCACTGCCCGCCTGGTACCAGCTATAGTCAGCATGCTGCACCCAGGCACTGGGGGCGCAGTGGTACAAGCCTTCATCCTGGGGCCCCAAGCTGTGCAGTCTCAGCCGATGACTTCGGGGCCCCACCAACTCCACGCTGATAGGGCCTCCTCCAGGCCGGACCCCCAACTCTGCCACTCCGTCCTGGTCCACGCCACCCACCAGCTCGGCAGGGGCAGTGCCCAGCTCCCCTTCCTCCAGTCGCTCCACCCACCAGCTGGCAGCCAGCCGCAGCCCTGGGGGACCGCCACGCACAGAGATATTGCAGAGCAGGGAAGCAGTCTCCCCCCGGTACACGGTGCCTCCCGCTAGCCATGCCACCGCCTCCAGCACCACACCTGTAGAACAAAGGGCACAGATTCAGAAGGTGAAAGGTCAGGGAGCATAGGGCTAGAGGTCACTGTTCAATCAACACTCCAGGAAACATAGGGAGTTCCCCAAACTTGGAAGAAAAGCATTGAGGGATGAAGGCTGATGGGAGACAGAAATCAAAGGAGGGAGAAAGGACATGGACATAGAAGAAAAATGGTCCACAAGCCCCAAAGCCTCTCACCTTCCTCCCGAACGTGCACAGGGAGGGGCCGGGAGCGGGCACTGGCTGCTTCACGAAGCCGGGCCCCAGACCCTCGGACGTAGGCTTTGGCAAGGCAGCGGTAAGTACCCGCATCGCCAGGCCTGGCAGCCTCCAGTCGTAGGCGGTAGGTCCTGGATGCCACTTTCTCCATGGCAATATGGCGGCCCTCATAGCCAGGGCCCAAGCTGCCTACACCCTCTGTGTCTAGCTGGGCTACCAGGCGACCAGGCCCAGGTGCTCCCGCAGGTGCCATTTCCCAGCCCACAGAGTAGGTGGCATGATGGCCTGGCGGGGGCAGTGCCCCTGATACGTTGCACTGCAGTTCCAAGGGCTCCCCAGGGCCAATCCGCCGTTCACCAGGCCCCACTGCCACGGCCAGCTGGCTGGCTGAAACGAAGAAGGGAAGTGATGTCATGGAGGTGGGAGGGACACCCAGGCTCCTGATGCCCATCTACGGTTCCTTCCTTAATCGCAGCAACTTCGAGGCCTCCGGTCTGCCCCTCACTGGGGCCCACAACTCCTAGGTGTAACCATCTTCCCACCCCTTATCCTTGGCTCTCCAATTTCCACACTCAGTTTCTGAGCAGAGAAAACTCATCATAGGTGGAGAGGAAATCAGTTGTCAGAGGACAGCTCATCTAGGGATGATGGGTTTCTCAGAGATAGCCGATGACTACCTGTGCCCACTGGCCATGGTGCCCACTGAGATGCAGTCCCTCCTAGATCCCACCATGGGCAACGTGGCACTCACACAACGTCTGCACATCCACGTGGGCCAAGACAGCCCTCTTCTCCCCGATCTGGGTCCAGCTGCCATCGGGATCCTGAATCCACTCGGCGGCCGTGCAGTGGTAGGTACCTGTGTCCCCAGCCTGGGCTCCCCCCACCACCATGTGGTACCGGTCAGTCCCCTCCTTGCCCAGTCGCACCTCCCCTGCAGCCAGACGCTCAGCATAGGGAGCTCCAGCCTCCACAGCCAAGTCTGGCCGGAGCCCCACCACCTCCTGTAGAGTGGCTCGCCCCACTGGTGCCTCGGGCACGGCTCGCCCAAAGGACACAGCCAGGTGTGTGTGCTTCTGTGTGCTGGTCCGAGCCAGGCAGCCCAGGGCCAGCTCCTGCCCCTCATGCACAGTTATTCGAGGTGGGGAGGTTGGGGCCTGGCGGCCTCGGGGTCCTGGGGGGGCAGCAGAGACTTGCAGCATATCTGGAAGAACTGGAGAGAATAGCTGGAGTGAGGGGTGGCTGCTTGTTGTAATTGTTTACTCTATGCACAACCCATTTCCCTACATGGACGGTGAGCTCCTGGAAGCCACAAATCGTGTACTATATTTTTTCTGTCACCCAGTGGTGCCTGGCACAATGTTAGGCACATCCCAAATGCTCAATAAATACGTGTTGTTGTTAATTGCCATTGAGTTAGTTTTGACTCATAGCGATCCCATATAGGGTTTCTGCAGCTGTAAAATTTTTGCAAAAACAGAAAGTCTCATTTTTCTCCCACAGAACAGCTGGCAGACTCGAACCACCAACCTTTGGTTAGCAGTCCAATGCTTATCCTATCGAGCCACTACGCTCCCTCATAAATACTTATTGAATTTCATTTGAACCAGCCTATTGCCAACTCATCCTCATGTTCAGGACTGCTCTTTGTTTGAAATACTCAGAAAAGTGGCCCTGTCTTCCTCCTTAGAAGACAAATCAACTTAAGAAAGCAAAGCTGTCACATGGCCTAACTCCTCCTACCCTTCCACTACTTTGCCTCCTCCACAGCTCCTAGATCTGGATCCTGGTATCCCCAGGAGAGGAGTCTGTTCCACCCTTCCTGCTTCCCCATCCCCTCAGGGGATGCTGAAGGATACCGGTTCTTCTCCCAGGAGGTAGCTTGATAGTAAAAGACCAGCAATGGACTAGAATGAAGAGATCAGGGCTGATTCCAGACCAGCCACTGACTTTGTGCAAGTCACTTAACCTTTGGGGGCCTGAGGATCTTCAGCTGAAAAGCTGAGGGTGGTTACAAGGTCCCTCCCTGCAGGCTCTGATTTTCTGTTCTTAGGGTGGGTATGGCCTGCCACCTCCCCCAACCCCAGGACCAGTACCTCTCAGCTCCACCTTGCCGCTGTAGCTGCCCAGGTAGTGGGCATCTGTGGAGGGGGTGTAGCACTCATAAATGCCAGCATCCTGGGCCTGCAGTCGAGCAATCTTGAGCACAACAGCATCACCCTGTAGACGTTGCACCTGCACCTCACCAGCCGCCACACGGGGCCCAAAGATGGCATAGGAGAACCGTGCGTCCTTGGTACTGACGATGCCCAGTGCAGCCTCTGGGGCCTCAGGCCTGTACAGGAACCACTCGAAGTCTTGCTGGGCAGGACCCTCATAGCCGCTGACATTGCAGAAGATGGACACAGCTGTGCCAGTCACTCGGTACAGGGGCCCCTCGGGGACCAGCACCTCCCGGGCACAGCACCCAATTCCTGTGGAGAAGGGCAAGAGGAGTTGGGGGTGCCTGAGCCCCCTGTTCCATCTCTACCACCACCAACACCAACCTGGGGGATGTTGGTAGACAGCTTGGGCCCTGTTTCAAGAACAAGGAAAAGATGCTGGGAGGTAAGACACCCTGGTCTCCAGGAGGGGTTTAGGCCCAGGTTTGCCTCATCCCTTTACTGGAAGACCAGGAGGAGAATGCCCAAGTGCCAATTCCTCTATTCAGTTGTACCTCTGCTTCCCACAATCTGCACCCCCATGCCCCTCCCCAACTCCCTACCCCATGTCTGCCATTGCTCCCTCAGGGCCTAGCCAGGGAAGCCTACTGACACCAATTTCTCCCCTTTACTTGAGGGGAAATGGCAAAATCTTGTTCACAAAGGCTGGTTGGCTCGACTGTGTCACCTGGACTAGGGGTTCCAGACAATGGAGTCCATGGCCAGAGTTGGGCCAGGGCACAGATCCAGTCAGTTCTCACCACCCATGCCCTCCCCCTGCCAGCTGTGCCATGAGCTCACTGCTTCTTCACCCTACAGGGCTACAAAGGCAGCTGGGGCTCCTGGGGCAAGGACCAGGCTCAAGTCCAGGCCCCTAGGGCAGAAGATCCCTTCCCCCAATGCCTGCCAACCTTCCAGCTGAGGCACACCACCCCCATCTCTGTAACAAAAGCCTTCATTTGCATACAGTAGGGCATATTCATCTCCATATGGCTCCCATTCTGTAGGGAGCCTCTGAAATCCCAGCTGCCCCTTCCTTTCTCCTTAGAAAGGCCCAACTCTCTTCTTCATTTTACCTCTACCCTATCAGGCCCCCTAAGATGTTCCTAAAGAGCTCTGGTAGCGTAGTGGTTACTAATCGGGCTGCTAACCTCAAGGTCAGCAGTTCAAAATTACCAGCTGTTCCGTGAGAGAAAGATGAGGCTTTCAGCTCCAGTAAAGATTTACAGCCTTGGAAACCCTGTACAGGGTCACTATGAGTCGGAACCAACGCCACAGTACTCAACAAGATATTCCTGGCAGCCTTTGAGGGTTTTGCTTCTTCTTTCACTTCTTCCATAGCCACACTAGATAAGAATGTAAGGAGACCTGGATCGGCTGCCTCTCCCCACTTTACAAATGAGAAAGGTACAAGGAAGCTTCAAAACATTCATGGAAATAATCTGTGAAAAGCCTCATAGCATGGATGAACCTGGAGGATATCGTGCTGAGTGAAACTTGTTGTCAAGAGTCATCATGTTGGTTCCGACTCATAGCGACCTTGTACAGGATTTCTGAGGCTGTAACTCTTGTGGTTAACAGTCCAATGCTTATCTTACAGCACCACACCAGGATTCCTGAGTGAAATTTGTCAATCACAAAAGGGTAACTATTGTATGAGATCACTATTTAAAAAGTTGAGAAAAGGGTGTTTTTGTTTTGTTTTGTTTTATATAAGAAACATTTTATAATGGTTACCAGGCATGGAAGAGAAGGGAAAATTATTCATGGGCTAGAGGGTCGATGTTGTCAAGTGCTGTCAAGTCGGTTCCAACTCACAGAGACCCTGTATAGGATTTCCAAGGAGCAGCTGGTAGGTTTGAACTGCTGACCTTGCAGTTCACAGTCCAGTGTATATCTTACAGTGCCACACCAGACCTAGAGCGTATACACATGTTAACATGGGTGAGGGGCAGGCAATATACAAAAAGAGAGAGATTGGCAGAGGAAGGATGAAGGCAGTGGAAGACAAGGGGAGGAATGCAAGAGTTAAAATGAATTGAATCCAAGTAAATACTGATAATTGATTAACTGGTACATGGAGGGGATTGCAATCATTGTCATGAAATGAAGTTTATAAATGTAAAATGGATGGTCAACTCTGTAAACCTTCACTCAATTCACAATAAAATATTTTTTTAAAAATTCCTAGAAAAATCCCCATTCATTCCATTTTTCCATGAACATTTTGAAGGTTCCTCGTACAGTCTCTTGGGCCAGGTCTTACTGTCCCTGGAGGACTTTCACAAGCCTCTGTAGAGGGACAAAGCCAAGGAAGAAATGCGGAAACTCCAAGCCCGGCCCAAGAGGGCTGGCTTCACAAACCAGATCTCCCAGGGGGGCTACCCAGGGCTTTTCTGAAAGAACTGAAGGAAAGTAGTCAAGTGTCTATGGCCAGACTTTGCCCTCTAGTACTCCAGAAGAGCTACCCTTGACTCTCAGCTGGGCTTCTTCCTAGCACTGAGTTATGGGGGGGGGGGGGGGGGAACTCTTGTTCAGTTGGTTAGAATTTGGAGTTCCAGCCCCATGTCCATTTCCAGCTTTAGCTGTATAGCCGGAGGCCCACCACTTTCCCCTCCCAATTTCCACGGGAGCAGAGCTAAGAGCTACCATTTCTGACAGTGAGTGACTGTGTGACTCAAGAGGGCCCTGCCTGAGGCTTATTTCATAATCAGGGTGAAGGCAGAGACAGGCCAGCTGACAATTTCCCCATGGTGGCCTGGGGCCAACTCTGTTTAGAACAGCCCCCTTCCACCTTCCGGGATCCACAATTGCTGATGCTTGGAGATCCCCATGGGAAAATCACCCCTACTGTCTTGGGAAATCCAGCTCTTTCCTCTACCCTGCCCAGCATTAGCCACAGAAAGGGGAGGGAGAGCAAAGAAGCCTGTCTTGAGTCACACAGATCTGGATTCAAATGCTGGCCCAGACACTCACTAGATGGGTTCACTGGGGTAAGGAACTTCATTTCCCTCCTCTGTGCAATGACGCCATCTGTGAGATGAGTGCAAGTGCCCACATGCTCTTTGCAGGCTTCTCTACGAACCACACTGCCCCACCTCCAAGCTGCCCACTGGGGAAAACAGGCCAAGTGCTAGGCAACTGGGCCCCACAGCTCCTTCCTCCCTGTACCAGCGGCCCAACCCAGGGCCCCAAGGAGCGGGCTCATCCTAGCACCACAGGGCACAAGGACCTATCACGGATCTCTGCAGCAGGTGGAAAAACTACAGGTGCTGCTCAACTCTGGTCTAGAAACAGGCAGCTGGGGCAAACAACGTCAGCCTCTGCCCTGACTACAACAGCTCAGAATCCTCTCGGATGGACGCCTCACCCCAACCCCCACCCCTCACTCCCCCTGCCCAGTCTCCATAGTCTTCTTTCAAGGACTCAATCCCCTGAATATCTATCTATACAGGCAGTTTCTCTGCATGTCACACTTCTCCCCAGATCACCTCCTACAGGAAGTCCTCCAGTTTAGGCCAAAATTCATCCACTGTCACCACCCTACACACATAAACCATGTAGGAGTGGCCCAGAACACCCTACTAACCTACTAAGCACAACCCCCCACCCTCCCACCCCCCCACATAAGCAAGGTGCTTGGAGATGCCAATCTCCATGGAGCCTGACTCTCGGGAGGCAGGGAAGCTGGGGCTTAAGGGGGTGTGACAATGTTTTGGCAGGGGGGGTGGGGTGGGGGGACAGAGCCAAGTGTCATCTGGAAGACAGGCAAAGAGGAATCCGCCCCAACCTCAGATAATGAACTGTGGAGGAAAGGGGTCAATTAGGGGAGGCTTACTTCAAAGATCATGGGCAGAGCTGGACCCTGGACCTGGGCCAACTCTAGGGCAATTATGAAGATGGGCAGTTATCTGCCCACGCAGGTCGAGCGCCCAAGGCCGGGCCTGAGCAGAGTGTGAGGCAAAGAGTCGCACTATTCGCTCTAGAACCTACGTATGTCAGCTGAGAAGTGGGGTCGGGCCAGGAAGCCCGGGGGCAGCACCTGAAAAGGTTCCCCCCGCTGTCTCAGTTCGGGGCCTAGAGCTTGGCAGCCCTCACCCACGACTGGCTCAGCTGGCAGCCACAAAGGGCAGCGGGGAACCGACCCGGGGGAGATTGGGGGCACCCCTGAAGAAGAGGGGAACAAGGGGCTCCAAAATGCCGGATAGGCAGGCCGGACTGGACGACGGGGTCAGGCACCTGTCCCGTGGGGGCTTGGAGCGGGAGCCGGGGTTGGGGCCGGGCTTACCCAGCGTTAGCAGCAGCAGTGGCAGCGGCGGCGGCAGCGGCAGTGGCTTGGGGCCGAGGACGCCCATCCTGAGCAGCTGGCTCTGAGGAGGCTCTGGGGGGCGGTGAGGGCTCTGAGGGGTCAGGGGTGCGGGGGCGCATGCCCGGGTGGGGGGCACGAAGCGGAGCAGCTAGGCGTGGGTGTGAGGACCCTAGCAAAGAGAGAGCTGCCAAGTCCCCTCCCGCCTCCTTCTCCCGCTTTTCCTCCCGCCTTCCGCAGCTCCGGGAGACAAATCCCGCCCCGCGCTGGGCCCGCCCCTGTCCGGCCCTGGCCCCGCCCCATCACAGCCATGCACCTTCCCCCTCCCGCCTCATCCCGCCCCGCCCCGCCCCTAGACCAGGGCTGGGGCCTGGCGAGCTGAAGACAACTACTCATCCAAATCACCACAGAGCGAAGCCCCACCCTGCACCTGCAGGCCTTTCTCCAAGAGTTGGTTGTAGGGACCTTGGCGTGGGTGAGGTGACTGTTGGCCACGCACTTAGTTACTTGTTCTGGGCCGCTAGACCTCGCTGCAAACCGTGCAGAAATTGGGGTGGACAGACCTAGGAGTTCTGGAACGTGAAGGGTCAGGGATCAAGGCGGAAGAACGTCCAGGGTTCCCGAAAGTCACTAGTAACCAGTTTGCCACCGACCCCTTCAGAGGGCAGAACTAAAGGAAAGTGGTTTAGGAACCTGTGCCATCTGGATGCCGTCACTTCCTGGCTGGCCCTGGTCAAGTTGCTTAGCCTCCTTCAACCTCCTCAGTGTTCTAGAGAAACTCAATTCAGCAAATTGAGGGCAACGACACTCCACTCAGTGTTGTTGTAGCTCATAATTGAGATAATGCACATAAGGTTCTTGACACTGCAAAATAGGAGGTAAGTTTTTTGTTTTGTTTTTAGTTAAACAATTTCCCAAGCTGTTTGGTTTAAACCTAAAGAGAGGGTGAGATTTAAGTGACGGAATCTCAGTTTCTGGCAAGGAGAGATGGATCCACTCCATGTTGAGTAGACCTGGTGGCGCAGTGGGCTAAGCATCAGGCATTAATCTCAGGGCTGATGGTTCAAACCCACCAGTATCTCCAATGAAAAAGATGAGGCTATCTGTTCTCATGAAAGTCATAAAAACCCAAGATAGTGTCGCTGTGAGTGGGAATGACCCAACAAAGTGCAGAAATTATTAACCTATTTCATTAATATTTCATTAATTGTTGTCGAGTCAGTTTCGACGCACAGTGACCTTGTATAGGGTTTCCAAGGAGCAGCTGGTGAGTTTGAACCGTGGGCCTTGCAGCTCAAGCCAACGTTGCAGTCTAGTGCATTATCCCACAGCACCACACCAGGATTACATGCCAGTCAAATTTTGCTGAAGAGAATTCAAAAATAGTCAACGCAGGGAGCTACCAGAAATCAAAGTTGGATTCAGAAGAAGACATGAAACAGGGATATCATTGCTGACATCAAATGGAACTTTGCTGAAAGCAGAAAGTACCAGAAAGATGTTTACTTGTGTTTTATTGACTGTGCAAAGGCATTTAATTGTATGGATCATAATGAACTATAGATAAAATTGTGAAGGAAACAAATTTCAAAATACTTAATTATTCTTATGAGAAACTATACACAAACCAAGAAGCAGTCTTGGTATATGATAGTGCATTGTTTAAAATCAGGAAAGGTTTGAGTCAGGGTTGTATCCTTTCACAATACTTATTCAGTCTGTATGTTGAGTAAATAATCCGAGAAGCTAGACTGATTGCTGATAGCAAAGAGAACTTGAAACACTGATGAAAATCAAAGAATACAACCTTCAATATAGATTGTTGTTGTTGTTAAGTGCCTTCGAGTCAAATCTGACCCATAGCGACACTGTATAGGGTTTCCAAGGAGTAGCTGGTGAGCTTGAACCACTGACCTTGCAGTTCAAATGACTTTGCAGTCTGACACATTAGCCCACAGCGCCTTACAACTCAATATAAAGAAAACTGGACCAATAAATAATGTCATGATAAATGGGGGGAAAAGATTGAAGTTGTCAAAGATTTCGTTTTGCTTGTATCCACAATCAATGCTCATGAAAGCAGCAGTCAAGAAATCAAACTACACATTACATTGAACAAATCTTCTATAACAGACCTTTTTAAAGTGTTACAGAGCAAAGATGTTACTTTGAGGACAAATGTCTGCCTGACCCAAGCCATGGTATTTTCAGTTTCCTCATATACATGTGAAAGCTGGACAAAGAAGAAGGAAGATTGGGAAAGGATTGATACATTCGAATTTTGGTGTTGGTGAAGAATATTGAAAAGTACCATGCCAGAAGAAGAAAAGGATCTGTCTTGGGAGAAGTATAGCCAGAATGTTCCTTAGAAGTAAGGATTGCAAGACTTCATCTCACATACTTTAGACATGTTGTCTGGAGGGACCATTCCCTGGAGAAGGACATCATGTTTGGTAAAGTAGAGAGTCAGCGAAAAAAGAGGAAGACCCTCATTTAGATGGATTCACACAATAGCTGCAACAATGTACCCAAACATAATAATTGTGAGGATGGCAGAGGATTGGGCAGTGTTTTGTGCTATACATAGGGTCGTTATGAGTTGGAATCGACTGCATGGCAGTGAGTTTGGTTTGGTTTGAATGTTAAGAAGGATGGGACCTGCTGCAGAGAGGGAAGGATGGAAGAAGCATCTTTCCCAGGATCTCTCTCCTCCTCAGTTGTGGAGAAATGTGGAGGAACAGAAAGGGTGGGGCCAGAATGTTGGGAGGGACAGCAAAGCTATGGCTGTCAAAGTGGCCGTTGGTGAAAGGGTGATCCCAGAGCTCATCCAGAACCCATTGTCCACCCATTCATCTCCCCCATCTCTCACTCAATCATTCCTCTACCTTACCTTCCTCCCCCCACCTGATGATTTACAGGAGAGGACACTGAGGCCAAGAGAGGGGAAGTGGCCCACACTAGACCAGACCTTTGACTTCCTATTCCCAGATCTTAGTACAGTGCCTGGCTCAGAGGAGATGCTCGAGGATTGTCAATTGAATCCACATTCAGAAGACTTGGAAGAACAAGACAAGCTCTGAGGAAGAATAAATGCTGGGAACCTTGAAGGCAAATCAGAGGTCCAGCCCTCCACACTGAATGCTTCTAGGACAGGGCCAAGAGCAGGGCAGCAGGGCCCCAGTTTATTCCCACTCGGACATATCACAACCTCGTTTTTCCAGATCTATTTAATATAAGGGGCTAGTGAAAACTTCAAGTCACAGGGAAGCTTTTAGAGGAAAACCACCCTCCCTTTGTTTAGGAGAGGGGTGGATTTAATGCCTTCCTGATGCTTGGGGAATAAACGATGCTGCCAGTCATAGTAATAACAACAAATTCCACAGATGGAATGGCTATACAATAAGGCCCTTTTAGATATTATTTCTAGGCTTTATAGCATATTTTGCAAGATGGTGTGATTTAAAAGATAAGGAACTTTAGGTTCTTGGAGAAGTGGCTTCAGTCTGTCTATCCCAAAAGCCCTGACTCAGCTCATGATTTCTCATCCCAAGTCTCTCCACCCTATAAACTCATTCATGAAATAAATGCTGATGAGCCAAACCCTGTGCTGGCCACTGGTGATACAATGATGAACATAGCTGATCTGGTTCCCTGCCCTCATGAAGCAGAATACACAGTTGTTGTTGTTGTTGTTGTTGTTAGGTGCCATCGACTCAGTACCAACTCATAGCGACCCTATATACAACAGAACAAAACACTGCCCTGTCCTGGGCCAACCTCACAATTATTGCCATGTTTGAGCCCATTGATGCTGCCACTTTGTCAGTCCGTCTCGATGGGGTCTTCCTCTTTTTCTCTGACCCTCCACCTTACCAAACATGATATCCTTCTCCAGCGACTGGTCCTTCCTGGCAATATGTCCAAAGTATGAGAAACAAAGTTTGGCCATCCTGGTCTCCAAGTAGCACTCTGGCTGCCCCTTGCACTTTCAATATTCTCCTCCAACACCATAACTCAAATGCATCAACTCTTCTATGGTATTCCTTATTCACTGTCCAGGCTTCACATGCATATGAGGTTATTGAAAATACCAGAGCTTGGGTTAGGCATACCTTAGTCCTCAAGCTGACATTTTTGCTCTTCAGCATCTTAAAAAGGTCTGTGCATCAGATTTCCCTAATGCAATACATTGTTTGATTTCTTGACTGTTGCTTCCATGAGTGATTATGGCTGATCCAAGAAGAATGAAGACCTTGAAAACTTCAGTCTTTTCTCCATTGAGAAGAATGTTGTTTATTGGTCCAGTGGTGAGGATTTTTGTTTTCTTTACATTGAAGTCCAACTCATACTGAGGCTGTGGTCTTTGATCTTCATCAGTAAGCATTTTAAATCCTCTTCACTTTCAGCAAACAAGGTTGTATCATCTGCATATCCCAGGTTGTTAATGAGTCTTCCTATAAACCTGATGCCACGTTTTCTTTCATATAACCCAGCATCTCAGAGTATTTGCTCAGCATACAGGTTGAATAAGTATGGTGAAAGAAACACACCATAAACAAGTAATAAACAAACCCTGGCATGAGTGTTATGAGAGGGAATACGCAGGCAGCCGAGGTACTACCCCTCACCCTTTGGCTTGGGGCTAGAAGGAAACTGGTAGATATTGAGGAATGGACTGGAGTCTCTAAACAGAGAGAATGAAATCCTATGAGAATAGCAGCTGCATCCCATCACTTCCAGACTGTGGGTTCTAGAGGCTGTCAGCAGGGGGAGCCCGAAGTCCAGGCTTGACTCACCCTTCAGACACTTACATAACTGGGAAGACAGGGTGGGTGGGGGCTGCGGGAGGGAGGGCTGGGGGGAAGGAGGAGAGCAGATCTCAGGCACGAGGCTCATCACACACATACAATCACATGTACCCGCTGTGGTAGAGAAGACGTCACACACCCCTCAACCTCAACAGAGTGCTCACAAACACGGCACATACTGCAAAAGAGGAACCCATTGGAGAGACTGAAGAGCACTCCTGTACCCATCCCTCTCACCCATTAAAAAATCTCAGCCTTACC